GGATACGACACCAACCAACCAACCATCAAGCAGGTTCGGATGCTTGATATATTTGATTTTCTTTAAATTTTCAGGATATATTTTTGATTTAGAGCTATTAGTTGCGTGCTTTTTTTTTATTTTTGCGAAGCAATTTATTTCTCGAAGTTTTGAAAATCGAAAATCCTCTAGAACAGTGGTTCCTGAACTTTTTTGTCTCGGACACTGCTTGAGATGTTTTTCGGTTTTGGGTAGACCCCCTGCTTACCTGATATTGATTTTTGTACATTCATCAACTTCAAATGTATTTTTGACAGCTGGTATAGTGCTACTCACTGTGAAAGATTTAAATTTCTAACTGTAGTGAAGTATAGTGTGAAAAACTTAAGAAAAAAAACGAATGTTAATTTTATGCATTTATTAATTGAATCCAAACTAATTTAATTACTAACTTAGTTTAACTAAAGTGTAAATGGAGTAAAATAGTGCATTATAAAACCCGTACTCCACTACTAATATTATAATTGCGGAAATTAGTTTGTATACAAAACCATCGTAGTGTATTGTCGGTCTGTTTATAACGTTTTCACGTAAAAACTAAGCAACAAATCTACGTGATCTTGTGCGCAGATAAAATTGGAGGTCTAGCTAGCTAAAAAGTTGACACAGGCTAAGCTACAATTTTCCGCGGAAAAATACTTTTTTGTTACAAAATAAAACCTTACACGTAGAGAAAATAAAAACATACGCAGGAGGATCTGCAGGCAACTGATAGTTTATAATAATTCAGTTTCTTATATCAAAAAATAATCCAGATAACTCAAATTTTAATAAAACTTTTACTTCATAGCTACTTTCATAAATTATGTAGAATGTAGATCATACATGTCTTTACATTATAAGATAGTATAATATGTAAGTAAATAGGTACTATCAGTGTATGTTGATTATTCCATTCATGAAATGCCAAAATTAAAAGTCACGACCTGCTTATATGAGATCCATTATCATTGGCCCCCATTTTCATTTCGTTACAGCATATGTTCATTTCATATACACCCAATTTTTTCCCCACTTGACATGAACCCCTTGCAGGTTGGCGTTGACCCCTGGTGGTCGATATAGATCACTTTGGGAATCACTGCTCTAGAACTTTGAGATAGTATATAACCACAAAATATAATATAACCAATAAAATATAACCATAGTTCTAAATATTTATTTTGTGTCTGCAGCTCCAAAGGCTCCTTTTAAAGTTAATTTCATACTAATCTAATTTTGGGGAAGGCACCTAATGATTTCGGAAGTTGAGTAAAATTTTAATTTCTTTTTGCCTTAAGATCAATTTTAAGGTCATGCAATACCACGCATATGTTTATTTTTCAGGTACTACTTATTAGTATGTATTTTCAGAAATATATATCTATCTTTGATTTTAAACTGTTGGTACTAGTAGGTTTTGATAATCAAAGCCCAATATAGCTTTCTTTCAAAGACAATTGAATGATCTTCGATACGAAGGTCCATTAAAAGTATTTATGTTTTTATAGTTAGTTAAATATGTTATAGTTAGTGAATATAGTATTATAGTTAGTGAATGCAGCAGGATATAAAATAACGGAGAGTGTCGTGATTAACTTGCTTCACAAAAAGTACAGCAATTTGAAAATTGATGAATTTCTCTCAAAACTTTAGAAGATCTGCAGCTTTTAACACCTAAATTAGATTTTTTTCCTTAAAAAAAACCAAGAGTTCATAGTTTTACATGATGAACGTCTCCTTAAAATATCCACAAAATCAAAAATGTCAAGTATTCAAGTTTTCCCGACTCTTGAAAAACTGGCTCCTAATTTAAATGTTATAAAATTTCAAATCTCTTTAGTAAGTTATGCTAAAATTCATATGAGCTGTAGATATCATTGATAAAACGGAGATAGACATGGCTTAAGGCTTAAACTCTGGATAAAAAAAACTGTTTAGAACTGATGGAAAACTTGACTTTGGGGTTTTGTTTATCAAAAGAAATTAGTTTATAAAATCAACTTTCTTTCCATTTAACATCTTTTATTAATTTTGAAACTTCGATGCAAATATTACCCATGTGTAAGTCGAATAAAAGAAAAAAAACGTATATATTTAAAACTTGCTAAACCTTGAATGGCAGTTCATTGGAAATTTTGCTTCTCAGAGTCCCTTTTGGTTTTCGCTTCTCAGTAAGCTGTAAGCTTGTACCTCTTCTCAAGGGATTGTTGTGGATTATGTGAGGGCTTTAAATGACAGTACTTTTTTTTATTTTTATTCTTTGAGTATCATAATGAGCTTTCGTGAAAAATGTGTTTTTGCCTTAGCTATGATAACATCCCGATGTTGATCACTACAAGATAAAATATAACATTCTTTCTCATTAAACTGTAATCTTATTTAGTATTTTCTTCGCATGTGATGGATAATGGTTAGTCTTTTAGTGAATCCGACTTGAGCTGGTCATAATAAACAAATATGATAATGTTTGACAAGTGGATTTTCTGCGCTTAAAGGTATTTTAAACAAGCTTTTTCTGTAATTTTGTGAAACTTACTTTTATTTTCTATTTAAGTGATATTTGACACTATTTTGCGGTTAATATATATCATTTGTGTGAAATGATAAGTAAGTTTATAAAATAAGTTGAAATGAAAGTCAATTTTTAAATGTTTTGTTCCCCAATGGTTTTTATCGAGTGGAACAACTTGACTCTACTTAAAAATAAGTCCGGTACGGGGGCTACTTTCTTTGCGCAGCAGAATCACTGTACCTGTAATATCAAAAAGTGTTCCTTTTAAGGAATATTTTATAAAAATTGGCAACATACACAAGCTTGAAGCTTTCAAATATTTTTTTTAATAAAAATTATACTCTCTCCATTCATTAAACGAGATTTTCTTTTTTAAAATATTGATTAGCACATATTTGCATGATGGTACACAAGGAATTTTTTTACAAAGTGCCATAAAAGCATCACAATTTTGTTAATAATTTTTTTTAAAAATTAGTGTAATTTGGAAAGGTTAATGCTGGGGGGAGTGGGGTAAGACTGGATGTTCGGGTAATATCAGGTTCCCCGATTGTGCTGAAATTAGTTCAGTTTTCTAGCTGACAAACTTTGAATTTCAATTTACTAGTCAAGAAGAAGGACATACCATGTTGGCGTGTTGATTAATTCACGGCATCTGTGTAGATAAGTTAGCTTTGCTATATCAACTCTCTTGTGTTTAAGCTATTCATCTTTTTTTTTTTTCATTAGAGTTATGAAAATTATTTTAAGTCCAGATTATTATACGTTTACTAAAGATTCATATTCTAACGAATAATAATGATTTTTTCCTATAGTAGCACTGTTCTGTCTCGTTTCGATACGTGGTTTTAATCCGAGAGCAGAAGTTGCTCTCGGGGTAAGACCGCGTACCCTTTTGTTATAATGTCTATTCTGGCGAATGAGGCGGATTCTCTAACTGTTTCAATTTGAATGTTCATGTTTGCCTCATAAGTAAGGTGATATCAGAAGCAAGGAAGGATGTTTAACGGTTCTATTATGTAACACGTTCTGCTTTGGGTGTGTTTGAGAAAGAGAAAACCTCTTCCCATGCTTCAGAACCGGTTTTTGTTTATTATTTAGAGGAAAGAGATGAGGCCTTATGAGGAAAACAGTTACGTTTTGGTTATAAGCTCGATCAACAGATAGCATAGCTATGAAAAAAAAATGAAAATTTGACTCATTGTCCATTTCTTCCTCCCATTTAAATTGGTCCCAACTTGCGCAAGTTTTATTCAGTACGTGATTGCTTAGCACTTATGAAATGTGGCTATTGCTTAGCTGCAGAAAGAAGTTACTTGTTAAGGGCGCCAGCTCTAGGATTTCGTCTATACTCTTTTTAAACATTAAAAAAATACAAAATTATATTTATTATAAATGAATCAACAGCGTTTTTACGCCAAATAAAGTTTAAAAAACCCACAAAGCTACAATTTTAAACTATTTGTACCACCTTATCGCAAAGAATAATCAGTGTAAAAGTATAGACAAACAACTTGAAACATCGAAAATTATTTTTGTTTCAATTACATAAATTTGACGAGAATGAAATTTAGCGATTATCAAAATCAATGAATATGTAATTTTAAATTTTTAAAATGTTTATGATTCTAGATGCTGCAGTGTTGGAGAAACTAGACATTACGTGCATTGCACAGATATTGAAAACGTTATATTTACCAACATTGTACATATATCTGTGCATTACACAAATATTAAAAAATTCGTTCGCAAACGATTTTCATTTTCAAGAAACTGTGGCTTCTCTCCTCACTGACGTCTTGCGCTTATTTCAAAATGAATATAGAGGGCGCTAGCTACATATAGTGTAAACTTGACCCAACTAACAGGAATAACTGTAGTATACTCACAGAAGTTATAAAAATTAAATTATTATTTCTAAAACAGAACAACTTTATTTCATGTGGTTACTGAGCTTTCAATGTCTTTAAGGCATGGAAGCATTGAGTTTTTAAATGAATTAAGGCCCCATTATCTAAAGTATCGATCTATTTTTATTTAATGAGAATCTAGTATAATGCTTTTGCTCACCTCCACTGGAGTCGTACTGCCTGCTGGTTGACAATGCAGAACTGGATCTGTCACTAAACTCTAGAGGTGGCCTTGTTGTCACAAAACCATCCAGCAAGCGCTCTTGAGATCTATTTCTTCGCGGAGGTGGAGAAAAAGATCTTCGCTGTGAATTTAGTGGTGTTGAAGTGGCTGCTGGACCACCCCTGTAATCGCTCCCCACATCCTCAAGACCTCCTGCCACTGTGTTGCTGCGCACCAGATTACCGTTGTCAAAACTGACGTGCTTTTGTCTTCGATCATCCAAGGAAATGTCAGGTGTTTTGGCTGCTCGACCGGTGTCGGATACTTCTCGTCGACGCGTTGTTTCAGCATCGTTCAGTTCGTCAACGCTTCGGCTTGGTTGGAATCTCTGAAATGGATTAGAACTTTGTGGCTTTAATTCGAATAAAATATACTTAATTATACTCTGTTGAAAGTTAAAAAGGAACTCCTATCCTTATGGAGAGAACATGTTAGCATCTTAGTGTACGCAAAATGGATTCAAGCTTCCAGCGTACATCAACAACGTATACAAACGTATATCTTAATATGAATTGATAAAAATGATATCTAAAAATCGTAGCAAATATACGTTTCTTTGTTCGCCTTTAAGGAAACTGATGAATGAATAATAAGTATTGTTTCTTGCATACGATTTTCCCTTGCCGAGAAACAGAAGTAAAAAAAAAATCTTTATCCGGCATTTGATTTTTTAAGGGCATGTCAGTCAGTATGGGTCAGCACCTGAGCTCATACCCTTCTTTCCAAGCTTACACACCACAGCCAGCGAATGGACTTTCTGCCATGACAGATTTAGGTAAAAGAACAAAAATTAAAAAACAAAATTATGGCAAATAAAAACAAAATATACAGTATTTAAACTATGTATTTGGTAATTTTTCCGTTCATATGGCAACGGTTTACCTTAAATTCTGGCTTTCAAAACCATCGCACATTTAGTAAAAAAAAAAAAAAAAAAAAAACAAAAATGAGAANTTAAAAAAAAAAAATACAAAACTGAAAATTAATTTAAACGAACAAATGATTTTAATGCGATGCTCTAAGGTATCATGATAAAATTACCGAATTTTAAAATTTTTTTTCAAATTTTATCACACATTTATAGTATAATATTAGTTCCTATGCTATATGTAATATTCCAGTAAAAGTCATAATGCGAAACTGATTACTTTAAAATTTCCATTGCTCCACAAATGTAAAGTAATTTAATCCTATGTTGATCTAAATAGTGTATTTAACAGACAAACCTTCTCGTTAAATAGTTGTATATTCAATTGACAAATACTGCTAACGGATTTTTTGAAAAATTTGAATCTAGAGGTTTATTTTTTATGTTGAAAAACCTTCAATTATTAGAATTTCTAGATATCAGCTATCTAATTTTTATAGAGCTTCATAACGACCAGTCAGTACAAGTAAGGTAGTATCTAGAATAAGTACGCAGTAACTAAAATAATTAAATACAATTCTCAATCTGTTGTAGAATCTTCAACTTAAATAAAATAAAGAATTAAATTTTTTTTGAAAAAATTAATATTTTCATTTTAAAATATTTCGAAACATAATTGGACAAAATAATATTGACCTTACATATTGCAACAGAATCCGTAAAATTTGAACGAAAACAAACCATTTCACTATTGTGAAAAATTCTTACAGGATTAGGGCATATTGCTAAGAGCGCAATTTTGATTTAGTAACTAAAAAAAACTGCAATTGAATTAATTTATTAAACTAATTCAATTAATTTATTTTAAAATAAAAATCTAACTATGCAATCAAAATTTATAAGCCATAGAATTATTTAACTTTTAAAAAAATGTTTTTTAAGAGAACAATGCGATCCTTTAAACTTTACTTATTTGAGCTTGATTCTATGCTCTTTTAGGAAAATGGTTTAGAACTCTCAGCTAATTAGAATTTTAAAATTAAAACTATCATCGCTAATTAAGTAACAGAATGGGGCAAGCACTCAACCTTAATCCATCAATTTGCGTTAAATACTCTAAGTTAATTTATGAAAATGAGGTTTAGTAGTGATGGTGAGGTTTCCTTATTTTTTTAAACGTAATACTAGAAAAAAAATCAGTATAGAATTACAAATTGCCTGTGTTGTATGAATTTCTTAACACTCATTAGGGAATTCATTTGAAACTATTCATTCTAACAACCAAAATTTTCCAGTTCTTGGCTTTTGTTTTCTGTTAATGCGATGCATTTTTAAGTATCTCATTAGAAGAATGTTAACTGTTTAAATATTTATTCAGAATTATCAATTTAAATATATTCACTTTTAGAACCGTTTAAAATTGAAACTTTAAGAAACTCTTAGAATGAATTATTCTGGAAAGCGTTGTTTCTGATTGTTAAAAGCATGAATTTCTTTATAACAATCTTAATTTATCTTAAAATTTAGTAATTATTTCAAAATTAAAAGCTTTTACAGAAACAGTTATTATAAACAAAATTAACTTAAAAGTTCCTTTTAAATGGTAAAAGTTAATGAACTGTAAATTCGAAAGTTTTTAAATAGCATACATGTTACCAAAATTAATTACGTGCAACCAACAAATCTATTAACATCATTTTCAACTTGGTTGGCTTTTATTTTCAGTTAATTTACTTAAATTACTTTTCAGGCTCAGTAATTAACAACTCTGAAACTAAACACAATTTTTCCGAGTATCTATGAAGCAGAACAGACTGTTACAAATTATGTAAAATAAATAAAAGTTTCATTACTTAAGAAGAATTTACTTTTTTATTCATTATAATTAAACAATTTTCTTCCTTATGCTGAGGAAACAAATAGCATCAGCATTTCCAGAATACAAGTACGAGTTATAATTTAACAGGGTATATTTTTATTTGTAAAATCTAATTTTGGAAATACTCATTTTTAATTAACGCTTTAATTTCTAATCCAAAACGATAAATAACGATGTTAAGTTTATCTGTTAAAAAACTTTTTATGACGAAGTAAATTATTTAAAATGCCTTTTAATACACTGCTGCAATTTAAACCGGTATAAATTATAGAATTGAGTCTGCAAATAACTTGATCTATTATCAAGATCTGATCTGGTAGGTTTCATAGCATTGGAGATTAATTTAGAACAAGCCCTCGCATAATGCCGCCAATCCAACGTTAATTTAATCCACTGCAAACACTACCATTCCAGTTTGAGTGTTTTGTCAACTACGATAGACTTAACACATCTTGAAAATATTAGTAACACAATTTGATAGTTATTGTAGTTTGAATTCTTACACTTACTTTAAACAACGAATAGTGAAAGACTCCAAAAATTAGGACACTTTGGACGCTTAAATATTACCGTACACATTATAAATTTAAAAAAAAAATGTATCTGGGAAACAATTACCTTGAAAATAATTACATAATTTTAAATAATAGTGGGCTGCGCCCCCTGCTCGCTAACGCTCGAGAAATAACGCCCCGAAAATTGCTACGCAATTTTATATGGTTTGCTTCGCAAACCAAGCTCGCAACGCTCGCTACTAACTTAGGTACATTGCAAATGCACAAAATTCTATGAATTCAAATTAATAATTCAAATCCATATAATTATTTTTTTAAAAAAAATTACATCTTTCGAGTAAATACTAAGTCATTAAAATAAATTTAAATTCAAATAAATGACATCTAATACGTTAAACCTATTAGAAATGTGCTATAGTATAAAATCTTAAGATAAAATTTCTAAAACTGATATCTCTTTAAAAAGGTTAAAATTTTGGCTATAATTAAGTCTATTAAGAATTGAAATAAGTAATTTGCAATGGAAAAGCCTGCATAAGCAAATAAATTCTAGTAAAACAAGTAAATTCGTGATATAAATCAAAAATCGTCAAATAAATTCGTAATATATAAATTCTTGAAAAAAAGTGCTTTCGACAAAATGCTAAAATAGAGACCTATCGACAAAGACTACCTTTGTCGGAGCCTAGCTTATGCCTAGGCCCTAGCTTATGCGGGAGCCTAGCTTATGCTCTCCCTGGTTATTTCAGTTTCCGTTTTTAAAAGCGCTATATGTTGAGCCATCTCAGCTAGATATGGCATGTGACATTTTTAGCGGCAATCATTGGTCGATTTTCTAGCGTTGCCATTCGGGTAGTTGTAATGAGGCTCTTTTTGTCGCCGTGTAAGAGAAATATCTATATAGATATTATTAGAAAAAACTCTGAATTCTCTCACTTTTGGAAATTCAACAAATCTTGAGGTGTAGTTTATTATTTTTTGTATTCAATTTCGTCACAAAATCACGTGAACTTACAAATATTTGACGAATATCTACTACCACATTCACTTGTCACTTATGTGCCCTTCGGGAGTTAATGCTGTTTCTTGCTTGTTCGGTTTATGGTGATTGTCAAATAAGATATCAAAATTTACATTACTCTCAAGATTTATGTAAAAAAATGAATGAAAAAAATAACAATTATTTTAACTTTAAATATTAACAATTATTTATATTATAATGAACTATTTATTTATGAAAAAAATGATCAATAATATAATACGAAAACTTTTGCAATGATTATCCTCTGATAAAATTTTTTTACACTGTATGATGGTATAGTGCATATTTTAGTGCATTCTCTTAACAAATAGGTTTTCTGAGTTCGATTCCTGATGATACCAGAATACTCATTCGTTCTTTTTTATTTCATGTCTTACTTTTTAAATGAATTGGAACTCATAGGTTTAATTTAGCTTTTGATGAAATTCACATCATCGAATAAGAAGATAGTTATATTTACAGCTGGACGAAATGTTCAAGGTCAGTGTTTCCCACATGAAAAAAAAAAACTGGTAAAACTGTACTGTGTATTCTTAACCTTTCTGATGAAAAATCAATAATTCTGGTCAATAAAACCAAAATATACGGTGCCTAAACCATTCAATCTGTAATGTTTCCGCAACGGCTTAGCGGAAATTTCGGTTTTCAGAATTATAGCTCTTATAGCCCCACATTTAGTAAAAAATACAAAATTGAAAAGTAATTGTAACCAAATAAATGGATTTTATGACCTGCTCTAATGTATCATGATAAAATTACCAAATTTTACCACATTTACCAAATTTTATCAAATATTAGAAAATCATAATCTATTGCTAATATTACCAAAATCATTACCAAAAGGCTTGCGTTAAAACTACTGAGATTTTTAGCTTTCTCATACAGCCAGAAAGGCGGTAAATGTTACCATATTTTAGTAGTTTAAGACATACTTTCTTTCTCAGTGAAAGAAATGGTTTCGTTGAAACAAAGAAATTCTGTGTCCATTTTTCACTGTGCTCTTAAACTGCAAAAATACTCCCGATGATTCTAATTTTAAGAGTTACTGTAAGAACATGTCAAGTGCCATTAATATGAATTTGAGAAAATTAATCGCAAATTGTATAAAGTTTAGGGTGAGTAGTGTGTTTGGAGGAAAAATGATTAAAATGTAAGCAATAAGACATATTTATACATTGTTCTGTTATCTAGAAGAAATTTTAAGAACTTGTTAAGAGGTTAAGAGCTTCTGTGGAACCATTATAAGACTTACAAGAAGTAACTCTTGTAATGAAGAATAAATGTTATCAAAATGTTATTCAACGCTTTTAATTTAATCATGATACCTTGAATAGTTAATTATTAAAATATCACCAATTAAAATAATATAGTTTATAATTTCATAGTTTTTAGCCTTTGTAAAAATATAATAATGTGGGAAAAAATAAAATTGAATAAAAACACCAAAAGCAAGAAATGGGAAAAAATAGAAGCATTTTTCAAAGATGATATTTTGTAAAAATATGGCTAATCACTTCAACGGTCCTAGCCCGGTATATAGACTCATTAAATAGTTGTTTACAAACCTGTAGTTTCTCTTAAAATGTACCATTTAATAATTTTAACTGAATAAATAAAGATTCAATACGAAACATGTTCTAGCACTAAAAATGTTAATGTCATTAATATGCCACTTAACATTTTACATTTGAGCATTGTAACCCGTATAAAAAAGAAAAAAATCGCTTTAAATGAATACTTACGTCATTTCGACTTCTAGCAGATATATTCAGTTGCGACGGCCGACGAATATTTCGGGCTATAAACTCCCTCTCACTCTCATTATAGCTCTGCTGACTTCCAAAACTGGCAGAACTTTCTAGCTTTCTTCTACCTCTAATGGATCCTTGACAAACCAGTGACCCATCTGAATCTCTTGATCTGTTTGGGTCGCAATAAAAGGTTTTGGGACGCTTTCTGAAGCCCGAAAGGATGTATTCTTCATCGTCTGTACTACAGATGTCATCTTTGGATCTAGTCTCATCCGTTTCGCATGTCCGGTCAGTGTCGTAAGGGGATGGACTGATGACTTCTACAGGCGGGGCGTAGATGTTTTCATCGCTGCTAGATCTTCTGTTCTGATGGTGGGATTTGTGGTGTTTCTTTTTGTGAATACAGGAAAAGAGTAGAGAGGAGTTTTTGGTGCAAGGTGAACTGTCTTGAGGATTGGGGAAGCAACCTAGGAATTTCAGGGAACGAGCGTTTTCAAGGACCTCTACCTAAAAATAATTTTAAACGATTTATATATTTAAAATTAAATTTTAAATATGTTGTTAAGAATTGGCAACATAATGACATCCATAAACGGTATAATGTACACTGTCAGAATTTTCATTCTAAAATTATAGTTAAAAAAAAAAAAAAAAACAAGCAACACTCCGCCTATCCAATTAGCCGTAAAGTTTACGGTAAAGAAACTTTTTCACCTTTGCGGTTTTTAAACCGTTTACGACTAATATGGTTAAAATACTATGAATAGTGAACTATACGGTTGTTAACCATTTACAACTAGCATGGTTTCAAAACCATAAAAAAGAAATTTAATTTGACGTTGTAGCTAAGATTTTCATTAGGCAATGGACATTGGAGTTAGGTTGTGGTTGAGTTGTGTTTTATCAAATGAACCACTGAACGCGATCTTATTAACCTTTTTGCTTGTTTCCCCTATCGTACGAGATGGAAAATGCTAGACTTTTTTATGTTAAGTGGGTTTATGGTGCTGCCTAATATGCGTGAATTAGAGTATCGTATTCTAATAGTACAAGTTCACAAATTGAGGATTGCAAGATACCCAATTCTCGTCGTGTGTTGAAGAGAATTGGAAAAATGTGGAGTCAACGTTGGTATTCGTACCCCCGTTCTTTAGGCCTCGAGATTGATAGATTAGCCCTTTCCGCTATAATATGAACCCCATTGCAAGGAACTAAATGACTTCATTACGTGGAACTAGTTTGTGCGATAAAATTCTGCTTGTTTAACCGTATTGTGAAAGCAGTTAATAAACGGCTTTCTTGTAGTTAAGAATTTGAAAACGACTTTAACTGTTTTTTGGGATATGGTAAAGTAGCAATGATATAATGGTTATTTAACCCTTTTTTAGAGAAATTTCTAACCCCTAATTCCCTTTAACTGCTAAGGAATTTTCAGTAGTTCGAATTGTAGCAAAAGTAATGTAATAATAATCTAATAAATTAGAATTAAGAGAAATGTATACATAAATTAAACATAAATTAAACATAAATTAATAAATGTATACATTTGTAAACTTTCTGCCATCGAATATTTATATTAAGCATGGTTACAGCTTATAGTTGAGCATGAAAGTTATTTTTTAATTTTAATATTGTTGAATTTCAGCAAATTGTAATTTTATGTCTAGAAAAATTGCTTTATTAGTGCAAAGTTAAATAAATTATAAATTTAAATTCGCAACTTCTTACTTTATTTGCGTTACTATTCAGCCGCTAGTAAATTTTAGGCTATTATCAATAAAATTTATCCATTGCGGGATTTCATTAAATTAAATCAAACAAATAACTAAATGTTATTTTTATTTAAATGTGTTTTAAGTATTTGTCCTACAAATATCAATGTTACTCCTATCTGAGAAACAGTGTTTAGTCTTGCGCACTGAAAGGCAATTTTAATTTCCCTAAAGTTAGCTACATAATTAATCGTCACAGTTGTATTCTCCGATGAAAGTAGTATATTTATAAAAAATTCTCACGAAACTACTTTTCGGAAATTAAACCTAAATTTACAATATTTAAAATAGCTTATTTGATAATTCTTCCGATCGTTATGGTAGTGCTCTATTCTGTTAAAAGTTTTGGATCTAATTACGGTATAGAGCACCGGCACTTTGGGTTCATTATCCGTGAATATTATACCATAATATTATACCATAATTATTACCATAATATTATACCATTCTTATAATAAAATATTATACCATAATTATTACAGTAATATTTATTTAATCAGAGTAATTCATTGATTTAACGATAATCATTGCTGTAAAAGTTTTGGTCTATATACCCGATTTTTTTGTTTTGTAGCATGCGTCGGTAAAAATGGATATTACCACAATTTGATCTGGAATTTTTGACAATGTATCGAAAATTCTTGTTTTCAAAATTATAGTTCTTATTACCCCACATTTAATACAAATGCAGTGCTGGAAAGTAAATTTAACATTTTTAAAGACTGATGTTTTTATTACTTTTTTCAACGATTCTGTACAAAAACAAACCTTCTCGTAAAACAATCTGCTCTTTGGATGTAACGACATTCAATGTTACTTTTAATAGAGTGTTTAATCTTGCGTACAACAAGTGAGCTTAAAGATATGAGGTTTCTATAGTTTTAGCGCTTGAACTTTCGGATGTAGGACGAAATTGGGGTAAATTGAAATTATGAAATGGTGCAGTTAAAAAGAAAATTTCATTTTTAAGTGTAGCATTAAGCTGTATAATCTTAGGNGGTGCAAGGCGAACTGTCTTGAGGATTGGGGAAGCAACCTAGGAATTTCAGGGAACGAGCGTTTTCAAGGACCTCTACCTAAAAATAATTTTAAACGATTTATATATTTAAAATTAAATTTTAAATATGTAGTTAAGAATTGACAACATAATGAGATCCATAAACGGTATAATGTACACTGTCAGAATTTTCATTCCAAAATTATAGTAAAAAAAAAACAGGCAACACTCAGTCCATCCAATTAACCGTAAAGTTTACGGTAAAGAAAATTTTTTACCATTGCGGTTTAAAACCGTTTACGACTAATATGGTTAAAAAACTATGAATAGTAAACTATAAGGTTGTTAACCATTTACAAACTAGTATGGTTTAGGAACCGTAAAAAAGAAATTTAATTTGATATTGGTGCTAAGATTTTCGTTACTCAATAGGCATTGGAGTTAGGTTGTGGTTGAGTTGCGTTTTATCAAATGAACCATCAAACGTGATTTTATTAACCTTTCTGGTTGTTTCCCCTATTGTAAGAGATGGGAAATGCTGGACTTTTTTTATGTTAAGTGGGTTTATGGTGCTGCCTAATATGTGTGAATTAGAGTATCGTATTCTAATAGTACAAGTTTACAAATTGAGGATTGCAAGATACCCAATTGTCGTCGTGCGTTGAAGAGATTTGGAAAAATGTGGAGTCAATGCTGGTATTCGTACCCCTGTTCTGTAGGTCACGAGATTGATAGATTAGCCCTCTCCGCTATAATATGAACCCCATTGCAAGGAACTAAATGACTTCATTACGTGGAACTAGTTTGTGCGATGAAATTCTGCTTGTTTAACCGCATTGTAAAAGCAGTTAATAAACTGTTTTTCTCGCAGTTAACAATTTGCAAACGACTTTAACTCTTTTTTTTGGAATATGGTGAAATAACAATGAAATAATGGTTATTTAACCATTTTTTTAGAGAAATTTCTAACCCCAAATTCCCTCTAACTGCTAAGGAATTTTCAGTAGTTCTAATTGCAGCAAAATTAATGTAATAATAATAATTTAATAAATTAGAATTGAGAGAAATATATAAATCAATCAAACACACTATATATAAATTAATTAAACGCGCACTTTAAAAGTCAAAAAGAGAAATTGTATTATGCTCTATATTCTGGATAAAGGTTTTATAGGAATTCTTATTTGTTTCAAAGTTATCAGCTTTAGTTTTCTGGAAGTGATAAATATATTTACAAAACTTAAATGTTGGAAGGTATGCTAATATTTTAGAGTAAACTTTCCTTAAACACAATATAAACTTTTAATATTCTCTATATACTAAATTATAATATTTAACTTTTCATTGCGCTAAAACAAAATAGTTTAGTGAGTAAAAGTATTTGTTGTTTTGAATAAATTTTACATTGATAACATTGATAAATACAGTTTTAAAAGGCATCGAAGAACAAACAATGAAATAAGTTTAAGGCATAATATTAGTAAATATATTTTCAAAATAATTTGTAAGCTTTTTGCCATCGAATATTTATAATAAGCATGGTTACAGCTTATAGTTGAGCATGGAAGTTATTTTTTAATTTTAATATTGTTGAATTTCGGCAAATTGTAATTTTATGTCTAGAAAAATTGTTTTATTAGTGCAAAGTTAAATAAATTATAAATTTAAACTCGCCACTTCTTACTTTATTTGCGTTACAATTCAGCCGCTAGTATATTTAAGGTTATAGTCAATAAAATTTATGCATTGCGGGTTTCATTAAATTAAATCAAACAAATAACTAAATGTTATTTTTATTTAAATGTGTTTTAAGTATTTGTCCTACAAATATCAATGTTATTCCTACCTGAAAAACAGTGTTTAGTCTTACGCACTAACAGGCAATTTTAATTTCTTTAAAGTTATTACATAATTAATCTTCACTGTTGTATTCTCCGATGAAAGTAGTAGATTTATGAAAAATTCTTGCAAAACCTCTTTACGGAAATTGAACTTGAATTTACAATATTTAAAATAGTTTATTTGATAATTCTTCCGATCAATATGGTAGTGCTCTATTCTGTTAAAATTTTTGGATCTAATTACGGTATAAAGCACCGGCACTTTGGGTTCTTTATCCGTGATATCCATTCTTATAGTAAAATATTATACCATAATTTTTACAGTCATATTTATTTAATCAGAGTAATTCAGTGATTTTACGATAATCATTGCTGTAAAAGTTTTGGTCTATATACCCGATTTTTTTGTTTTGTAGCATGTGTCGGTAAAAATGGATTTTACCACAATTTGATCTGGAATTTTTGACAATGTATCGAAAATTCTTGTTTTCAAAATTATAGTTCTTATTACACCACATTTAATAAAAATACAACACTGGAAAGTAAATTTAACATTTTTAAAGACTGATATCTTTATTACTTTCTTCAACGATTCTGCACAAAAACACATCTTCTCGTAAAACAATCTGCGTTTTGGATGTAACGACATTCAATGTTACTCTTAATAGAGTATTTAATCTTGCGCACAAACGGGTGAGCTTAAACATATAAAGTTTCTATGCTTTTAGCTTGTGAACTTTCGGATATATATATATATATATATATATATATATCGTCACTGATTTCAAATATCTGCAATCTGTTTACTTCCTTAAGTTTGTGGTGTATCTACCACTATTAATATTGAATACCAATTCACTAATATATAAGACATGCTAACTTGATACCGTCACGAGG